TAAAATTTCCTTATGTATAGAAATTTCTATGTCAGTCATTTTCCTTTTATCTCCTTCTTGGATTCTCCTCTTGATCAATCATTTCTCCTTCTCGAAATACCTTGTAAATTTTCCACATAATGTCTCATAATTTAAACATATTTTTATAACTCTATTTTTTTAGATATTTGAATTATTTTTTGCCGAATCTCCGCAGACGTATCCGCACCAGTATCCGTGACCCCGAATCTTAAGATTTAGATCATGAAGGATACGACCTCTAGATCTCCACCCATATCGTACACCCACACTAGACTCCGAGCAACTTAGGTTTTCATAGTAAAGCTCCTTTGAAGGATTCACTTAATAAGTATTCATGGTTTGTCGTTTGCAGTACACTAAGTATGAGAGAAGAGGGAGGCTTTGAAGTAATAAAGAAAGCAATTCTGAATCTCTCCCTTCGCCACAAGGAGCATATAAGTGCTTATGGAGAAGGAAATGAGAGAAGGTTGACTGGAAAGCATGAAACTGCAAGTATTGACAAATTTTCATGGGTATGCCTGCTGCTGCTGATCTTTCCTTCACTTGGACATAAATAGGCCGTACCAATTGTCCTCATTCCTGTATGAATTTCTAAATTTGCAGGGAGTTGCTAACCGTGGTGCCTCAATCCGTGTGGGGCGTGACACTGAGAAGCAAGGCAAAGGTAAGTTTCTGCTTCTGCTTCTGCTTTATTAGATGAGTAACATTAATATATTCCTTTTGTTTTCTGTGCAAAGAATGAAAATTAGATTATTTTGTGGACCACTTTTATCAACATACATCTATCCTACAAAGCAAGTTAAAATACTGGATCTCAAAATAAGAGTTACACTATTCTGAACAGTTATGCACGAGCCATGTATCGATGTTTCTCATTGCCTTTTAAAACAGCGGTTAACTATTTAGCTGTACACTTGGGCTGGTATGATAGTCTTTCTGATGCTGTTTGTTTCTCTTTTTGTTTATGGGATTGGTGGATGCAGGTTATTTGGAAGACCGTCGCCCAGCTTCAAACATGGACCCCTATGTTGTGACCGGATTACTTGCCGAAACCACTATTCTGTGGGAGCCAACCCTTGAGGCTGAAGCTCTTGCTGCTCAAAAGCTCGCATTGAATGTTTAGATTATTTAAGGGCAGAATGATCCATAATAATCTTCTTAGAGTTCATGAGCTGCTAAGTGAAGAAACTTGTACCTTGTTTAGATTCCCTTTTAGGGAAAATCTTGTAAAGGAACCACAATTTATCAGTTATTCCTATAAAAGAGGTTCCTTAAGACAATGAGACTGCTTTGGAGTTGAGGTGTAATTGTTGGACTACTTTGATCATCATTACCTTTCTTTTCTCCAGATGAATCGATTACTTCTGCCATTCTGATCTTTGAACACAAGATATACTCTTCTTGCCCAAAATCAAAAGATTGAACATATTTATAGTAGTCATGAATAATGGACACTCTTTTTCCTTGATCCATCTATAACTGAGGGCAGAATGAGAAAACCTTGTTCTAATTAATCAATCATGTACATTTCAGTTACAAACTAGTTCAGTCAGTTATATGAATTATCCAAGATATTCTGTATCGTTATGGCTCTTTTGAGAATTCATCATAATAGATTATTGCAATGTTGGTCATCGATCTGTCACAACTCTCCTCCTTTATCTGGATTTAAATATGTTACATCGCTCCGGATATCTGTGTCCAGCATGCCATTTTCCAGAACTTTGTGTTTGCTAGATACATGTTTATGTTGAACTTTGAATTGTTTGCATGTTTTCATCATATGGTCATATCAACTTCATGCTTATTTTACAGGTGGTGCACAGCAAATGAAGAGTCCAGTTGAGAAAAAGATGCATAACTGCATTTACAAGCTTGTGTTTTCTTTAGAATATTTTAAAGTACCTTTTACATCTGTGTGAAGCCAAAGTGATTCCTTTCCTCTACAAGGATACAACTGAAAATTAGTCCAAGATATTCTTGTCATTTCTTTGCCTTTAAGACAATATTTTTAAGGAAAAGGTGAAAAAAGCAATAACCTGTCAATGTTGTCTAGATAAAGAATGGAACAATCATGGCTTTATATACATATGCATTCTGTAATTGAAATCACAAAAGTGAGTAATTCATTAAAATTTCCCTTCTTTGCTTCTGTCAAAGCTTAACTTGTCAGGCCATGGCATCAGGGGCAGGAAAATCAGCAGCATTTATGCTTTTGATACTTAATGTCTTGCTTTACTTCGTTGTTATTGTAATTGCTTCTTGGGCTGTCAATCATGCCATAGTAAGATCCAAAGAAACAGGTAATTCGTCGTATCTCTTTTTCGTTCAGAGCACCATCCTGTCAAGACAGAAGTTGTGTCCCCTATTAGTCCCAATATATTTAATAAATATTTTTTTCTTGAATATAAAAATGGCGTCGATGATTTTAACGTGTGACAAAAAATATTTGCAGCATCAACTCTGTCAATCCCAGCTAAGATCTTTCCTATATTCTTTCCTTTTGGAAACATGGCAACTGGTTTTGTCATCATATTTTCACTTATTGCTGGAGTGGTGGGCTTCATTACCTCACTTACTGGAATTCAGAATGTGATACAATGGAATGCTCCCAATTTACATGCAGCTGCTTTCTCTTCTCTCACTACTTGGTTACTCACATTACTTGCCATGGGGTAAATAATACTACCACTTACCACTAAAGTTTAATTATATGTTTTGCGTGAGGCATGTCATATTTATAATTTTTTTAAAATTATATATGATATATAAATTTCATAGTACTGCAACTTTTGCGGGTGGTAATTCTATATTATTTTTTTTGGGCTGCAGGTTGGCTTGTAAGGAGATTGATATGGGGTGGACTGACTCAAACTTGGTAAGTTTTCACTTTTTGAGTCATAATAATAAATAGAAGCGGTTTCAAGAATGTTATCCTTCGTCAAATCCTGCGCGATACCTTGTGCACCGGCTGCTCTTTAGAAAATAAAATAAAATAAACATAAGCGGTTCCAATATATTTTTTTGTTAGCAAGTTCGACCATGCTTACTATTTTTGCTTGGACAATATGTGTACATACAAAATGACTTAAAACATATAAATAAAGTAAATCTATTTTGTACCAATTGTTTCTAAATTGTAGATTCACTTTTGAAGGTGAATAGGAAAAGTTATTTGCAATATAAAGTGATAAGTTTTTTAATTATAATTTTGCAGAGGACCTTGGAGGTCATATTGATAATATTGAGTGGGACACAAATGTTCTGCACTGGTGCTATTCATGCTGGAATTGGAGATGTTGCTACTCGAGACATTTAAGCAAAGGAAGAGTTTGAACAGTTTCATAATTTATTTATATAGAAAAATATATATTATTTTTTCTTTATCTCTCATTTTACGCACCTTTAAGTTTTAATGTGTGTATGTAATATGTATTGATTTTGTTCTTTGTCTTGAGCAGATTGAAGAAACAGTTGTTTGATTTGTTTCTTGGTCTTTTATTGATTAATAAGAGTGAATTGAATATAATTTTTTTTTTCCGGTGTTCACCTTGAGACTATATGAATATGATTTTGCGCGGAAAAATCTCACATTAAAATATATTATTTTATTTACTCTTGCAAGTAACGTTAAGCTATGTAATTATTTAATTAACCTTATACGTCTCGCGATAAATAAAAGTAACTTAGTGTACCATCATTTGCCACCCCAATCCAAGGAGAAAGAAAAAAAGAAAGAGAAATGTAAATATGCATAATTTGAAAATGCTAAAAAAGATGGATGACAAAAAAGGTAGTAATTTCAATATTAGGGACTATAATGGCGTGTAAATTTTCGTGTATGTGTGTGGGGGTTGGGGGGGGGGGGGACTCGTGATTAACAAATTGATTAGCATGAATTGTCAAATAATAGAAACATTACAATATTTAGGCCAACAACAACGAAAACCAGCAACATTTACCACACACTAGTAGATGGTTTGAACTTTGAACATCAAAACAAATACTTTAGTAACCTAGATATTTAATTATAAGATCATATTATATTTTAAATTAAAAGCTATATATTCAGCAATGAGATTCATTTACATTGATGAGTGAACCTTGTTCAATTAACTGAGCTGCGTCAACTGTCATTCTATTGATTATAGATTGGGAGCTCAAATTAATGGTGCAGACTTTCATGAAATAAAAAAAATATAGAGGACAAATGTAAGACAAATCAAATATGTCATGATATATTTAAACTTGTGGAAAGGTCTAAATTTATTCCTTTACTTTCGAATATTGTCTACATTTAACCTCTGTTATACTGTTCGGCTGAATTTACTCTTACCATAAGTAAACTTTTAAAAATTACCCATCTATCCGTTAGATAACCTAAACTCCCAAATCCCTTTTATTTAAATCCCTTGGTCTTTTTCTTGATTCACTATTTTCATAAATTACTATTAAGGTGAATATTAAAGGTATTAAACTATAAAAATTATTCATGGATATTTTTAATTACCATTGCACCAACTTCTCCAAAGGCATTGTAAATACTTTTGGAATTTAGACAAGCTACCTAATTTAGATTCTTTAATTTTACTATACTTTGTTTACTAACCGATGTACTATTTTAATATTTCTTTCTCTTATTTCCTTTTTCCAATTAAGAAAGCCAGTAAATACCAACTATTTGAAAATAGTGAATCAATAAGATGAATAAGTAACTTAACTAAAATGATTTGGGAGATTCCGAGTCACCTAACGAACCGAGGAGTAATTTTTAAAAGTTTGCTGATGGTAGGCATAAATTTTATCGGATAGCATAACAATAGGGGTAAATTTAACCGAATAATATAACACAGGCTAGAGTAAAACCTTTTTTCCTTTGAACTCTTATGAGAGAGAAAAAAGTGAATCCTAGGGATTGAAATAAAATCCATATCTAAGCTTGAGGACCAAAATTGCAATTACACCCCCAAAAATAAACCCCATAAAACATCCCAAATGGAACTCAAATGACAAAAAAAATAAAAAAATCCTTTCATTTCACACCCCTGTAAATTGTAAACTGTGATCTCCTCCTCCTCTTCATCACCCATCCATGTATACTAAGCTCCTCCACAACAACCCAACTTTAACAGCGCCACTTTCTTCAATCCATGCCTTCAGACCCATATCCTTCCCAATATTCACTCCATACTTTACAACAAAGCCCCTTTATCTCCATCTTCAACACAAAAAATCAAGAACCTTTATCAGCTGTGCAGCAAATAGTGATAGTGTTAAGGGTTCAGTGAGCTGGGCTGAATTGCTTGAAAAATGGTCACCAAAAAACTTTATTGGAGCTGATAAACTATTTAGATCCATATCTGGTGCAACTTCAAGCCCCATTGCTCAGTACATACCTTCCCCCTTCACTTTCTTGCACTCTGTTGACCCCAGAATCAAATTGGTATAAAATTTTCTAAACTTTTTAGGTTTTCAGTGTGAAAAGTTTTGAACTTTATTAAATTTAAGTATTGGGAGTTTTGTGTTTCATATATGTAGTTTTCACTTTCTTCTACTATGTTGATCCCAGAATCAAATTGATATATATTTTACTCCCTCTATCCCAATTTATGTGGCACTGTTTGACTGGGCAAAGCTTAAGAAAGAAATGATGACTTTTGAAATTTATACTCTAAAGTAAGCCTTACATATTTGTGTGGTTATAAGTAAAACAATAATTTTCAAGTTAAATCCTTTCTATAGAAAGGTCAAAGGTGGCATTCTTTTTGGATGACTAAAAAGGGAAGTGTGTCGCATAAATTGAGACAGTATGAGACAGTACGAGTAAGTCTTTTTGGGATTTGTGTGTGAAAAGGGTTGAACTTGTTGAATTTAGTTACTGGGAGTTTTCTGTTTCATTTGTGTAGTTTTCCTTCTTCTTTTTTGGGTTGTTCTTGAACTGTATAATATGGTTCGTCATTGGCTTTTCTTGTTTTTGCTGTGTTCGTGGGTTGTCTCTGAATTGTATTTTATGGTTCAGTTATTGAGTTTTCGTGTTTAGCTATGCTAAAGAATACCAAAAAAAGTGTATACTTTGGCTCATAGGAAGCAGTTTGTGAATAATGATTTACATGCAGTTCACTATGCCAAGTAGCTTCACAGAGCTTAATTTGTGAATTGTCTGCATTGATTTTTTATTTTATATTAGATTATTCAATTTTGGCCCGTTCTTTAGTGGTATAATTGTAGAACTGGTGAACCCTGATCATGGGAATCCTAATTTCAGATTTATATTGTTAGTTATTTAACACAACTCCAGAATTGAGCAAGCGTGATAGAGAAGATCCTATACATTTTCAAAGGAAATTAAAATAAGAAATATGGTGGGGCTAGGTTGGTCATCAAAGACTTAACCCATTTGCTGCAGAAAAACAGTGGTAATTTTTTGCTGCTGGAAGTAGATGGAGTATATCCCTGCTAAAGCTTCATGTTTTGCCCATAGCATAGTAGAATATTTTTATTCAGAACTGCTACAGTTTTGTGGTACCTGTTTTTCCGTGAGTTCTTCAAGCATTTATTGTTAAGTCCTAAAAGGCTTTTTATATTTGGCATTGATTGCTTTCAACGGCACCAAGAGGTTATTTTTCGGTGACGAAAGAAAAGTTCATATATTCTATTCCTTTCATCCACGTTTTGTGGTTGTCGAAGACTAATTTTGCTTTGGATATCTGTTTCTTGGTTATGCAGGCATGGCTCTTTACTCTGGTTATTTTACCGGCAAAATCAAACATAATCATGCGTTTGTCACTGGTTCTGTACTTAGCTATACTATCTATTTTGGTCCAACCTGAACAAGTGTGGAAGGTAAGCTTGGCCTTGAATCTTAATGAGCTTTATGCTTCAAAATGTTTTCTTGAAATTCTAATGGAGAATCTGCTTTGTTTGTTCTACTACAAATTTGATAATGTTAGTGAATTCCCTTGTTGATTGTCTAATATGGTTACAGGATCAACTGGGGAGAGTCACACTGCTGTCCGGGATCTTATTTATAATGTTGGGCCTAAGTACAGACAGTACACCTTCCCTTATTTCTTCAAGAGCTCCCCCACCTTCAGTAATGGGATTACCACCTTTTCCTGCGTCATTGGAAGGTTATAAATATGTAATCTTGAAGTTGGGGCCATTACAACTCACTAGAAAGGGCTTATCGACCGCTACTACATCAGCATGTTTAACCTTCACTGTGAGTAGCAACTTGCCATTTGTTTTCGAGTAGACCTAAGAAACTAGTTCTGCACTCCTACGGTACACTTTTCAAATGAAAACACGTGGCTTCTTTCTCATCTAGATAATGTAAACCTGTTTCAGTTTGTTAATGTTTAAGTTCAAACTTGAAGATCTTCCACTTACTGTATAAAATTCTCTGCATGCACCTTTACGAAGAAAATGACTGTCTGCCCATTCTTCCTAGTTTGACTTGCCTAAAATTCAGAATCTGTTAAGTTTTGAACTTCTTGGCTGAAGTCCTTGGAAATCTTAAAATAATCCAAGTTGGAAGAATCTGTGGATCCCAAAGTGTATGATCAATGAATTTTCTGGATTTGACAAGCAGTACAGCGATTGGCATTATAGATATTCATTCCTGAATATCTCATTATCTCCTATAAACTTTAGTTTTTCCGTTCCCTCCTGAATTCCCAAGAAAACAATCAATGTGCAGAGCGACTCCAGTTTTGTCTGAATTTAACTCCCAGTAACCTTCTGATTCTACAAAAACTGTTTCTAATAAAATAGCTCTCTTTTGATTAAAGATCTTCCAAAGTGCAAGTGTTTTCCTATCAACAACAACACCTGAGCAAATAGCTTTTGCGTTGCGGTGGTTTATAGCCCCTTTGGCCAACTTTGGTGTCCCTGTTGCTGAAGTTATCCTTACTCTCCTGCTCTCCTTGAGATTTATCAATCTTGTGTTTGATGAGGTGAGTAAGATTTATTATTATTTTTTCACATTCAATAGAGATGGAGTTATTGTTAGGTAGAATGCACTGATTATTGTCAGGATTCAGGAAACAGTTAGAAAATTCTGATTCATTTTGGTTATAATTTTGGCAGGTCAGAAACGTTGCTCTTGGTATTGTATCTCGTAGGATCAATTGGCAGCAGTTGACAATTTTGGAGACAATAGATGGTTAGTGTATACTTGAAGATAACCGACTCCATTGCAATTATGCACTGTGTGATTCACCAATAACACTTCTCTTTGCAGTTCTTTTCTTTAGCTATGTTGCTCGGACTCTTCAAAAATGTTGTTGGGTGCATGTCGGATCCTCCAAAAGTAGTGCATTTTTAGAGGATCCGACATGGGTGTGGCAACATTTTTAGAGTCCGAGCAACATAGTTCTCTAGTGCATTCCAGTTGAAGTTAGTTACTATGTTAATACCATATACTCTACCCAAAGAACAACAGGATCTCAGAATAGTTCAATTCTTTTCCCTAATCTTGATAAATTGCTTTGCAAATGATGGGAGTACATAAGTTATTAGATGTAAAATTACCTTTTATCGATAAATAAGAATGATGGAGTGCATATGATGCTCTTCCAGTATTATTGCTTTTTTTCAACTATACACGAATGTTTGCCTGGCTTCTGTGCCAATCAAATGCGAATCCTTTTCACACTAACCAAGTGCTGTTCATTCTCGTATTTGTGAAACCCTCATCTTATCTTAACTGTGATTTTATCCTAAAAGCTATCGCTTTCTGCTCTCTAAAACACAGAATTTGATCTCTTGCAGTATTTTTCACATATATTCGTCGGATATTCAGAAATATTTTTGTTCACGCGGAGCAAATATCTCAGGTATGAACTTTTCAATGTGATGTCATATTTTAGCATTTATCTACCATTTGCAAGAATAGTTGTTCCTTCTCCATGTTTTTGGGTATTGCTAATTTTCTATAAGTGGGTGATAATTTTTCTCTTTCTCTGTGGACCCTAGAAGAGTGTTTTAGTTAATATTTTTCATTCTTGACTAGCGAAAGATGAACCGCATCACAACGTCATGGCTAGAAATAAGGACATTTTATGATGATCTGACTGTCAGGACCAGCAACAATTTATTGGATAGAACTATAAGCACTTAAAGCATTTAAAGATGTAGAACTTGTTTGAACTCTATTGCCCCATTATTAAGAGGCTGGAAAGGATGTCTAAAAAATAAGATTTCTTTGATGTCTAATGCATAGGGATTAACCAGGGATGATATGTGTAGATCTACTTATAGGATAAAAACCGGTAATACATGGAGTTCATACTTAACTGAGTCGAGGCGATGCTGATGGATGTGGAACATTAGTTTATTGGATCATATTAGTAATTTAATTGTAGCATCTTGTGGTTGTATTTCTTGGGCTTCATTCCTGAAAATAGGATAAATCTGTTTGTCTGCTGGTTGCATTGAGTTTTACTATTATGCACTACTCTAAATCTTTCTGTTTCTTGTAGGCAATGATTGTTAGAGGTTTTCGAGGAGACAGCACCACTCACAAAATATTCTTATCAGCAGACTCATCTAATGGAGTTGCTAATTATATTTCCATATCATGCCTCTTTGGTCTAATAGCCGTAGTCACTTTGCCCAAGTTCCTTTTACAATGAAACACGATATGCTAATCATCTGATAAAAGATTCATCCTCTTGACCTTTTAACCTTCAGCAATATTAACCTCCTAAAAAGCAAATGTTTTCCTTGTCTGCACCTTATAGTCAAACTTCTCTCTCCTCTCCTTCCTCCACATTTTCACTCCTTCTCTAGAAGAAAGTCGGATTCTTTTTTTAGCAGATGTCCATGAAGAAGAAAACTGGTCCACTCAGTTTTCTTTAATAATTGAAAGCGGCGAACCAATAAATCTCCTAATCTCAAAAGTGATGGCTGGTTGCTTTCTACCCTTTATCTATGATGAGCATTGAGGTTGTTAGTTCCATGGCAGCTGCATGAGATCGCGATGGAAGTGTTTGGACCTGGTTGCCTATTACATAAAGTTTGATCGATACATACATTTTCTGGATGAACAAGTTACTGCTCCTTGAAACTCAATGTGACGTTCCGGATTCTATCAGGAGATGGGACTTTAAACATGTTCCATTCAAGAGAAGCTAACTGGTGATTACAAACTTACACAAAGAAAAGTCCTTTTGCAGAAGAAAATCATCAAATCATCAGGTCCTTGTGAAATCAGTGGTCAGAGCAGCCGTCGTTGTAGAATTATGAGCTTTTGCCTACAACGGTTAGAAATTGATATGGAAAAGTCTAGGGGAGACGGGATCTTTGAAGCGCTACTGTCATAAGCTGCAAACATGATTCAGTTGGCCCATTTAAAGGCACCATTGAAGTGTTGTCTGTATAAAGTATAATCTATACTAGAACTGTAGGGAATTTTTGGTACCTGAAGAAAGAAAGAGAACCAGAGTGGACAATGATAAATGTTTTGCTTCCTTTGCCTCATGAATAACAGAAATATCTGATTTTTATTGAAGTTCTTTTTAGCTTACAATTTTGACGTTAATTAAGCTACCAGAAGATAGTACTAGTAATGCAATTGCTCATTTTGCATCATTCTGTCTTCGTAAACTTGCTTTGCATACAAAAGTCAGGTCAGATGCATCAACATTAACAGTAGGATGCTAAACTACAACCCCACATTCAGATGCCAGCCAACGACTCCATTCATCAATGAGTTTAACTTTTATACACCGATAGCGTAAAAGAATACTTACAGTATCAAGTCATTTAAAAAGAATTACAAGTAATAATTCATTGAGTTTGTTGTTGTAGTTCATTAAAGAATGAGATTATTAACCTGAAAAATAAGGTCGATTACTTGTTACAACATGTTAACATATTGGAGGTGAATCTTTTCAGCTTTTGAATTTTGATTAGTTGAACCTCCCGCTCGGGGTATTATTTTGCGCCTTCCGTATATGAGCTTCTTCAAACTGAGGTTACTGCTATTAATTGATCCTCCATAACATGTGGTCAATGAGAATTCATTATTCGGGTCAAACAGACCGGTAAAACAGCAGTAGCTACTGATATGTGTTTCAACCACAAGGTCAAAATATAATATGTGTTTATGCAGCTATCGGGTAAAAGATATCTTCTACGGCCCAAGTAATTTTACGAAAAAGAGGAATTCGACACGATACAGGATATTGAAATGTAGCAAGGAATTCGACCTTTCGGCTACTCTACAGGAAAGAGGAAGCGATGAAATAGAATATTGTGGCAGTCGAAAGGTCGAATTCCTTGCTACATTTCAATATCCCGTATCGTGAACGATATACTTTAATCATATATATGATCCCTCCACATAAGTACAAGCTTACAACCAAATTTCTCTTTTATATAGTGTAATAATTTTTTTATATTGTTGGTGAAAATACAATTAATTACAGTTGAAAAATAAGATGAAGAAAAAATAAACATTCTTCAGGCTGAGGCACGGATATCTTGCTCTCATTGAGGAGATTCAAGCCAACTGTGATAGCATCTTCACCGGTCCAGCAGTAATACTCTTGACTTGTCCCCTCCAGGATACAACATCCCGACAAATAATATTCTATTTTGTAGAGAATAAGTTGGAGACTTAAATTTTCTCCTTCTCTTAACACTCTTTTTCACTACACCAAATTCACTTTTTTCATACACACTATCATATTTTTCATACCAAACGCAAGAAAAAAAAACTATTTATAGGTGTAGAAACTCTTCCATAAAATAAATAATAAGGTAGAGGATAATAAAATTGTAAAATATGGTTGGTGGTTATAAAATTTAATCTTTAGTTGGTAATTAATAGTAGATTATGTCATTAGTGGTTTCATGAGTTACACCAAAGTAACGACCACTGTCTTATCAATTTATAACCGTTATCTCACAAGAAATAATACACTTTAATATAATAATTTATTATTAAAATTCAGAAACACCAAATTGGAGGTGATAAAAGAAAGGCAGCAGAGATTTTTCTTGCACCATGTTAGTCCCATATCCCAATCTAAGATATGAGAACCTGAGTCATACATGCTTAACAAAGGCAATCTTCTAGTCACTGGATTAAAACTACAAAAAAGTTAGCTTTACATTATGTAAACTTTAGCATAATATGCTGAAATTCGCATACAAGGTGTCTTTGAGTTTGAACTCCAGCACAATATGTTGGAAATTTATACGCAGGAGTTTCATAATCCAGTATATTATGCTAGATTTTTTCTGTGTTTCATCTAAGGGGCTATTTTTGGGGGCAAATGCATAAATAGTCATTCTTATGGATGCTATTTAGAGATTAGCCAATACTTATTTTGTCCTGAAATTTTAAACTAAAAATCTTTAACTTTATGACAATTCTAGATATATTTGTCACAAAAATTAAAATTAAGGACGCACTAACTAATTCTTAAATAGCGGTCCTTTAGAGAGGCTATCTGGTTTTTATGCTATTTTTCAATTACTTTACAAATGCAGGCTAATTTTCAACTACCAGTCCAAAAACTGGATAGCCCATGCTATTTTGACGGGACTTTTTCATATATATGCAATATTATAAATTTATTTACCTGGTTTTGTCTAAGTTTTCCTATTTACGAGAAGTAACTAAAGTTTTTTATTAAATATTTACAAATTCGATTAGAATCTACAATTTATGTACATTTTAAATATATATATATATATATATATATATATATATATATATATATATATATATATATTTTGCATAAAATCCTTTCACAACTACAATGTACATACTATTTATATACAACTATGTTAGTTGTATATATTTTGTATGCCGTTTCTACACCCGATATACAAAGTATATACAATTTATTTATGTCTTCTTTTTCGAGTTTCAATATGAAATTCCAACCAAAATCACCTCGAATCATCACCAAATCCTATCAAAATTGAGATATAAACTCCGACGGATATTCCCAGTCATTTGCAGCAACACCAATCCACGCAAACAATAATTTTTCAAAATTCGATTTTTGAATTCAAAGTTTCGAAACTTTTTAATGGCTGTCAATGGAGTTTCGCAATATCAATGATGTTCTAACTCTAAAATTGTTAAAAAAGAAACTTTCTTTAACGAGCAAACATATTGGATAAAAGCCAAATTAGACAATTTCCGACCACAATCTTTTTTCTGCTCACAAATTGCTTTATTCTCTGTAGACGCTCCTTGTTTAACTATACTGCTTCTTTTTGGAGCTAAAGTTGTTCTACTTACCAATTTCCTAGGTTGGATGAGAAAGAAGAGGGAGAGAAAATATATTAGATTCTAAGATATTATTTTGTATACTAACATCTATAAACGATTGCACGTTAATAATGGCTCGTGATGATTTAAATATTTATTTATATGAAGGAATAATAAAATTTAATTAATGAGAGAAATTTTATGTATAATACTACAACAATCATCTACATGCCGAAAAATATTTCATTACCATAATACATGAATTTAAAATAAAAGGACACCATCAAACTTACACAAATGATCAATTTTGTCATGTTTGTTAGATAATTGTGTATTATAGTTTAAAAGTATTTAATGTGATGGTATCTTAACGAACACTTCTTTATGGACAATATCTTTTTTGTTTATGTTTCCTCCTAATGCTTTAGTTGCTCTGCCTCAACCAGAACTCTTGTTGTCGATCTTGATATCCCTCTTGAAAGTGCAACATACAGTTGTTCGTGCAAGAAAATATATTGTGGTAAATATAGTCCAATATTTAGGATGTTTGTCCTTGTGTTTTATTTATTATATTTGCAAAATATAAGCATACTAAAAATTATTTTAACGCAAATTTAAAAGGATATTCCTTAGTTTCGAAAGACGAAAGTTGAATTTAGGGATAAGAATATATTTAGAAGCACACTGACCACTATCATAATTTTTGCATGTATGACGTTATTGTCAAAACTTCTATATACCATTTGTGTGCTATTACATGAGCTATTCGGCGTATCTAAGTTTTCCAATAGCATGACGAGCATATTTTTCTTCAAAATCAACCTATATATAATGGAAGATCAATTTTAACTTAGTCTATTATATATACGGTGACACTAACATATGTAAGAAATAATAAATTTAACAACAAACATGTATGGTAGAAGGCCATTTGGTATTAAAGTATTTAAGAATTCTTCTTTATAATAATTATTGGTATCATTTTCTGTTGAGTCAAAAACAGAAAAATATTTTGTTTTACTATAAAATTTTGCAAGATATCTTTTTAATTCTATCATGCGATTTACACAAATTGCATTTCAATCTAATGATAGAAATATTTCTCCTATTAAATGCACTACTATAACCATTGGGATTGCTAACCAAGTATTCAGGAAGAACCAAATCATTTTCGATTGGATGCTTTTCTTTGTTTCCGACACGAAGCAAGAAAACACTGAATACTGGATCTGTTCTTACTTTATATTTCTTGTCACTTGAGTCTTTTTCTTGTCACTTGAGTATAACTTTGGCAAGCTAGCTTTTACAGTCTCTGCTTTTGTTAATTTTGGAACTAATGGTAGTACTTGACATAAGTTACCTTCCAAACCATTAATTTTCCATCAAAAGGTTCTTTAATATCTAATATATCTCTAGAACTCCGGGCAATTATTTCGATCGTTTGACACTTAGTCATAAGTGCTTCATCCCATATTATCAATTTTGCTTTCCTCATAAATTTAGTACCATTGCGCTGCAGTGCATTTCATAAGTTTGGGTTGAAGTGCATTTCAGTATTATCGATGTCCGTTTGGGATTCCGAGTCTGGGAGTAGCTCCGTATGGTGATTCTGGTGTTGGGAGCACGATCGGAAGTGAATTCGGGGGTCCGTGGATCATTTTGGAGTCATTTGGCTAAAGATAGAAAATGAAGTATTTTAAGAAGTTTGACCGGAAGTGGACATCTTGATGTCGGGGACTGAATCCGATTCCGAAAGTTGGAGCAGGTCCGTAATGCCGAATATGTCTTGTGTGCAAAATTTGAAGTCAATCGGACGTGATTTGATAGGTTTAAACATCGAAAGTAGAAGTTTGAAATTCTAAAGTTCATAAAGATTGGATTGGAGGTCGATTCGTGGTTTTAACGTTGTTTGATATGATTTGACGCCTCGAACAAGTCCGTAATGTATTTAGGGACTGGTTGGTATGATTGGTTCGGGTCCCGCGGGCCTCGGGTGTGTTTCGGGTTGTATCGCGCTCTTATTTGATATTTCAACATCGTTTCTTTGGACATAAAGGGTACCATATTAAGCAAATGAGCTCCAAATTAAGTTTTTACTGTACCATTAGATCCGTATCGTAATTACAGAGCCATAGCAAAAAGAATCGTCGAATTTGGAAATCGTATGAGGGAGTTATGCTCATTTTCGTGTCGGAAAAAATTATTGGTGTCTGGTGTGAAGATTTGTTCTTCGCGAACGCGGGATAGGTTCCGCGAATGCGAAGGATTTCTGGGTTGAC